GTCTCCTGCCAGGCTTTGGGTTGAGTAAAGTGTTAAGTGTCTGAGTGGGAGGGTAAATGAGCATTTTTCCTCCACTCTCACTCTCACCTTTTAAAAAGTTTTTGTGTTAGGAGCAGCACGACAAAAAGCCCATGGATTTCACCCGCTGTGTGCTACTTATGTAATAAGTGAAGTTAGTTTGTTTTGATGAGCTCTTGTCAGATTCCCAGACTGTAAACCTTGTTTGTGGGCCTGCTCAGTTTTAATTCATTCAAAGATGCTTCTCCCTTTGCTGTTCCTCTTAAAATGTGAGGTAGCTTTGGAATTAATGAGTTGCTGTCAAGGGTTGCGGGCCTCTGGGAAATTTCTGATGTGAAATGTCTTGTTTAAATGATGAATATATTTGTGTCTTAGTCACTTTAGATTTTCTTGTGCATCAAACAGCTTCCTCTCATGACAGGCTCAGTTGTTAGTCCTTACAGGTTCATGTCAGGATCATTTATCGGAGCATTAGTAAATAGTCTGTGTGTTATATTGTGCAGTGATCCTGGCCAAGTATGGAATGGATGGGAAAAGAGACACTCGACCACTGGAGAGCAACCACCTGAAGGACCATGACACCAAAGAGGGAGACATATTTGATGATCCCAGGCTGGACAAACTGTGGAACAAGGTGTGTATGTGTGCAAAAGAGGGAGGAAGAAAAATATTAAAGTATATTTTGGAATTGGTTCCTCGATTATATGCCTTCTTTTTTAAGTATTAGTGCTCCCAGTTGCAGCTGGCGACTGTTACATAAAATAAAGACATATACCTAAAAATGAGCTAAAAAAGAATTGTCACCCAATATCACTTAAAAAATCAGGTGCATCAAATGTTTTACAAAGTTAAACGCTTTTTCAGGTTACAGTTGCAGAGTTCTCGCACAGCAGCACCAATCTTTGAATGCAGCTTTTACATACGTAACTGTACTTTTAAAAACCCATTATTTTCAAAAGCTTAAGCTTTGGCAACTTTGTTTTGAACTTTGACAATAAGGAAGCAGTTAGGTAGGGAAAGAAAGTACAGCAAAGTTTTACTGGGTTTTTGTTTTTGTGAAAAGAAACTACTGTGTTTGAAAAAAAACTATGAAAATGTGCAATGACCACTATATGTGAAATTTTTATCTAGTGGAGTGGTATTAAAATGTTTCACTGCAATTCATATAAATGCAAACATTTAAATCTTTAATATTTATTATTGCAGCTGAAAGCAATACAACTTTTACCTTTGGACGATATATTTCTGGTTTCCTAAGAAAATTTCCTCCCATGTGCAAAATATTCAATTTATTCAGTGTAAAATGGTCTATTGTCGTCTTGTGTTTTGACAGCCCATTGAGTTTACTGATTTTCAAATGTTTATATTATAGGCATTACCACTTAGACCTTCTCAAACATGAAGTCACTGATCCGTTTTGGACCACCACTACCTGTCTTTTTTCTCAGTCTAAAATGTGTCTGTACATCTCCTGCTGCTTTTGAGACTTATTTTTTCTTGCTGTCTCCAATGACTGTTCCCCCACCAGGCCAAGAGCTCAGGGAAGTTCTCCAACGAGGAGTTGCTGAGCCTGAAGAGGGAGTTCCAGCATCACAAGGACAAGATCCATGAGTACAACATCCTCATGGATACCGTCAGCAGGACCGAGGGTGAGTTGCATGAATCACAGCCTTTGCTCTGCTGCAGAGCAGAGGTGTCACACAGGCTTAGTTTTATTGGTGTTTTCTGAGGCCAAGTTTATGAGCCTTTAAGCCCTGTCCTCCTTCCCCCACTATATATCAGGCCGGTTTCCAAAGCAAATTAATGCAAAGTATTGCACCTCGTCACCCTCTTTTGCCCTAATTTGACTGGTACCATCTCTGCTGTTAAGTCAGTCATCCATCAAAAATCAGCACCATGTCTGAAGAGCTCTCTCTCTGTTAGTAGACTTGTGGTCCTGTAACGTAGGTGGCCGGTATCGGACTGCACATGTTGCCACCCACCGCTCTGTGCTCTATCAGGGCTTGTCACATCACATCAAGCTGTGAGTTTTAAGCCGAGCTGACACACACACAGCTGAGCTATGTTTCAGATAGATGTGGGGACGACAGGCACGTCTCCTTCGGATGCGACTGACACTACACAGCTGTTTTCTGCCAGAACTTTTCTGCAGAGCAAGCCGGAGGTGTTTTTCTGCTTGTCTGATGCATTTAAATATTGAGCCAGTCACATGTTGCTTTGAGGGGTCTCTCCGTGCACCTCCACAACACCACCGCCGCCATCCGCTGCCTGTCAGGGCTCCGTAGTCTTCATTTCATCTTAGCTTTGCCTTTTTCTTTTGATCCAAATGTCAACGATTATCACTGAGTTCGTGTGGCGCTGTTCAGTTTTTCTTTGTCCGCTTTTTACCTCCTCACCTTTTTCTAGGGTGAGACAGAAAGTTATTTCATAACCACACTGTCATATTAACCGGTAAGATTAAGCTCATAGGCTACTCAAGGTTCTTATGAAAAACTAAATGTGATGTATCAAGAAAAAGCCAGTCTTGTCATAAAAATGTTTTATAGTTAGTACTAAACTCTCCTTATTAAATGATGTTTTTCTTTACCTCTTTTATTGCTTTAATATCTTTCCGCCTCTTTCTTCTCTCTATTCCTTGTGGTTTCATCCCTCCTTCATTTCCTATACTCTCCTCTGCCCACGCTCCCATCTAATCCACACACCCAACCCCGTCGGCTTTTGACTCCTAACCTGCCCCGTCACCTCCTCACCCCCTCTGATTTCCCTCCGTCTGTTCGCCTCAACAGAAATACACAAAAATGTGATCTCTCCCCTGGAGGGCGACGCCAAAGAGCACGTGCTGCACCAGAAGCACACAGACCTGAAGCAGAAAATGAGAGACCTCAACCAGGGCTTCGAGCGCCTCCGTAAGCTCAGCCACGAGGGCTTCACTGAAGACAGTGGTGAGAGAGAGAGAAATCACACACACACACACAACACACAGCTTGTCTCTGTCTGCATCTCAGCCTCAGTCCACACTTATCTCATCAGCTTAATCACTGGGATTTGTGATCACAATAACACACTCTGTCATATCACTGTTGATGAGTGTTGATATGCTGGTGGCTTAACTCGAGTGTTTAGTGCTTTTAGTTTCAAATTGAATATATCTCTAAAATGGAAAGGATGTGAAAATGGTTATTTAAAGAAGCCCACACTGCTGCATCCAGCCAGTAAACAAGCTACTCCTTGTTCTATTTAACTCGGGAAAACATTCACCACTCTCTCACGATTACATTTTCTTGTAGTTGGTAGTCTTGTCTCATATTCCCTGCTGCTTTTGGTAGGGTGTACTGCAGAGTTTGCGTGGGGTCTCGGTTGTGCAGGTTTCAGCGGGAGTCTGTCTGGGAGTTTAGATGAAGATGATGTTCCTGCTGCTTATCATACCGACTCCTTTACTTCCTCTCTCCTAATTCCCCTCCAGGTTGTTTCTCTCTCAACCACTTGTTCTCATCTTCCCCTCACTTCCTTTCTCCTCTTGCACAAAACAGTCTAAATCTCCTCCTCCCTGTTTTCTCCATCTGGTTTTCTTATACGTCGTGGTTTTGTAGTACTTTTAGAGTTGTGAAAGTAAAGAGGAATCTGTGACGGCGCCTCAAGCTGAGATGTGAATGCAAGCAATTTTGTTCTTTCATATTGTGTGCCTACACCAAATGATTGAATAACTAAGGTAGCTCATTGTTGTGATTGTATCTTATAAAACATCTGCGTATTGGTGAGGCTCCAAACTGTCTCCTTGGACTGTTCTCCCTTTATCTTCCTTTACGTCGGTTCTTCCTCCGTAGAGTTTCGTGAGCCCCGTGTGATTGAACTATGGGAGGCTGCGAAGAGAGCCAACCTTAGCGAAGATGAGCTGGACTCCCTCAAGGTAGGTCTTGTGACAGTTTTTTTTTGTTTTTGTTTTTTTTTGGATACTTCTGCTTTCACCAATTTCTTTCTCGATAACACTTTGCACACAACACATTGTTTTATCGCAGCTGCACTCTTAGAATACAATTATTGAAAACTTTTTGCTCTTTTGGCTTACCATGCTTGTGTATAGTAAGCCATAAAGCCTGGAGTGCACTTGATGAGGATCACATTTTATGCATTAGACATTTGAAATGCAAAAGTATTCCACTCTCCTATATCTCATTGTGCTCCTTTCACCCGTTGTCCCATGAGCAGAGAATAACAATGAAGAACTCAATTTCAGTTCAATTTCTTTAAAGATTTCTAGCTTCAAGATCAGATGTATCACAGGGAAACATTCAGCTAGACTTTTCTGTAACATTTCCTCTCTTGTCACTACTTTAGATGCATATTAGTTCCCCCTGCGCAGCTGTGCATGTAATTGAAGGTGAACTGAGCTTACTCCCCTCTGTGTTTGCTGCCCTCCTTTCCTTGTTCACTTAGGAGGAGCTGCGTCACTTTGAGACCAAGGTGGAGAAGCACAGCCATTACCAGGAGCAGCTGGAGCTTTCCCACCAGAAGCTGCGACATGTGGAGGCTTTAGGAGACAAAGAGCACATCAAGAAGAACCAGGAAAAGTACAACACACTCGCTGAGAAGACCAGGGAGATGGGCTACAAGGTAAGGAGGGATAAAGGGTTTTGTGTTAGCCCTTTCCATCAAACACCACAAATCTACTGTCCAATAGCCGAGTAAGAACTAATAATGGTGCGAAAAGGGCAAGGGATAAAACATTGCTATAGTGCTGAGAAAATGCAGTAAAGAAATAGGGGGCAATGGTTAACAATGCCCTGATAGTGTTCCTGTCGTAGAAGAGTCTCTTGTAATAAACAAAAGGAGTTGGAAAGAAATGGTTCTGCTCAAACCTTGTACAATGAACATTTCTGCTAATCCTGTTAATCTCTGTTGATATTCCCACATATAACTGTGCTCATCGGAAAAAAAATATGCTTATATCCATATGTATTCAAAAGAACTAGGATAATGGCATGTTAATTAGAGATCAATCTTAAGCAATTTATTATTTATGAGATTGATTTATAAATGTGTCACATTTTATTCATCTTTAAGATGGGGATGTTAAAATATAGCATCCAAAATTAAATTAAATACCACAAGGTATTAACATATATCATCAATCATATATAACAAACATTAAAAACACAGTATAAATAAAATAGTACATACAAAGCCAAGTGTGGTTAGATACCTTTTCTATAAGATTGACATTGCAGAAGATTGACTATCTGAATCTTAATTTACCATGAAAGCAACCAAAACCTTAACTAGTAAAGTGCACAATTATGACTATTAATGTCAGCCACCACACAAACAGCTACAGATCTACAGCAGTTAAATGATCACATATATGTCTTTCATTGTCTGATTTCAGATGAAGAAACATATGCAGGACTTGTCCAACAAGATCTCTCAGCAGGGACTTGAGCACAATGAGCTCTGAGAGGCTCGGATCATCGTGTCATTGAAGGTTGAATGAACTGAAATAATTCCCTCCACAACCACACACACACACACACGTTACATTCTCCCATTCCCCTTAACTACTGTAAAAAAAAAAAAAATAATCAATGTTTTCTACTTTTCTAGTGTTACTAGTTGTTGATTTGTTTAGAAATGAAAATGAATGAATTGTGGTTTTTTTGTACATATTATACAAATGAGAGATTTCTTATAAATCAGGCGGACTTATTGTGATGACTTACTGGTCACATTATCAGTCATGGTACAGATCAGATAAAGGTGGAATAGTTTTTAGTCTGGTTCTCTGCAGCAACACTTATTTGTACAACCAATGACAGTGTAGAAGAAATGTCTGGGTGAGAATGTGCTCAGAGAAAGCCAACTTTTGTGTGGGTGGCTGAGGAGCTGAGTTACTCTTGATGTAGATGTGCAAATGATGTAGTTTAGCTGCTAAGGGATGGTTCAGGTCCTGGGAAACAGCCTACCGACTGCATGAGAACTTCATCCTGTGGGAATATTGGCACTTTGGTGGCCAGACAATTTGTCCGCACCCGTCTGTCATTAGCTGTGCAAGTAATACATGCTGCATCAGATAAGCTGTTACTACTGGAGTAACTCATAGCTTGGTTTGCTGAAATATTGTATATTGAATAATATTGTGAGAGTTACTGCTATTGTCTAATCAATATAAAATGAAGAATGCTTTGCAGATTCAGGTTAGAAGCACTGAAACCTAAAATGTAACAGCAACCTTTAATATTCAATAAGATACAGGTGGCAGAAACATACAAACTGTAATATTTTAAAAATATAGTTGAATATCATTCATATTGTATTGGCATAAATAAAAGCAGTTACTATTTACACGTCCTGTAGAGAAATCGACCCCTTTGCCAATGCTAACCCTGTAGCGGCATTAACAAGCCGTTCTTAGTCAAATTTAAAGTTTGTCTAACTCATCCTCACGTTGTGTTTTTTTCTCATCATCTTCTCCTCAGACACAGTGGTAGGGAACCGCCATCATAAAAATAAATTGGCATCAAATATTGGGCAATTTGTCCTGATGATATCAAGAGGGAGGTGAGAAATTGGAACACCCACTGTGCTTTTCCATTCATCAATTCCTGCCCTCTCACAGAGCAGAAGCAGAGACATTGATTACTGTGATGAATAATGTTACTGGCTGGCTGATTACTCAGTCATGTCCTGCTTGGGCCACATGGGTCTGGATTAATGTAATTTGCTCCTGAGATATAACTCTAAGCTGCTTATTTCAATCGAATGCTTTTAAGCTCTGATGTGGAATGATAGCCAAGCAAGCTGGGACTCTTAACAGTGTCAGTGTGATGAGGGGGGGCTTGATTTCATTGTGTGGTCATTTTCTGCTTCAATCCTGTGATAGATCATTTCAATATAAACAGTGGCAGTGTGCGACCTCTTGATAAGAGAGGTAACAACAGATAGAGCCACACCACAGTCTGAAGAAAGTAGATCTAAATTCCAGCTTAACAAAGTACAACTTGATGCCAAGCAATGCTGCTGTCTATCTTTGTCTCTATAATATCAGTGGTAAACATTAGTCTTTGGTGCCATTCACTCATAATTAATGACATTTATACCAATGCTCAACAGTCAACCTGAGAGAATATTCCTCCAACCTCAGCCGACATAAGTGCCATGCAGCCAAAAAAAAGTAACAATTCTGGGTTAAAGGTCATCAAGAGAAATGCAGGAAAGCACTAATTTAAGTACAAGTATATGAGAAGAAACAACAGAACACAAAACACATCCAAGATGGCAGCTGCATAAGAGATTTCCCAGACATTTCCTGTTTTTTGTATTTTTTTAGTGGAATGGATTGTTGGTGGGGAAACTGCTGTACACTGGCACAACTGTGGGTGTGTTTAAGTGCAACGATGATTGCCATGATGAACAACTGCAATTGAGCATTTTAGCTTATTCAGAGAGATGGAGAGAATGAGTAATGAAAACAAGTTTGAAGTGGCAACGAGTTGGGCGTTGCAGAGTCAGTTTGGTGGCCCTCGTCGCCTGCTCTCCAGTTGAGTCAGTCTGTCCTCCCTGCCCTGAACATGCTCCGCCCCCACTCTCTGAGCTGTTTCCATGGCAGTGATGTCGAGGTGGGCGTACCTGATGGAGCCCTCTTCTGGTTGAGAAATTGGTGGTAGAGGAGGAGGAGAAAAGAGAAAATGTTGTTTCTGCTTTGTATTCTTTCACATACAGGAAATACATACAGTGACCTGTCATTACCTAAAGTGCGTTGTTCAGTTACTTTGTACTTTGTATTAACTGAACCATACACTTCTCTTGTATCACATTGTCTGCATTGGTAGTACTGGAATATAACTGTAAACCATTCTTTTTATCTGACTGTAAAAATGCATACATTTATTTGAAGATGTTCTATTTAATTTGCCAATTCACACCTGAGAACTTTAACACATTTGGACTGTTATGTCACTGTTATATGTGATTGTACCACATAAATTAGCCTCTGAACAATGTTTTTTTACGCAAATAAATTGTTTCCCCATTCATTCAGTGTACCGATCTGTCCCTCTTTGATTTGAACGGCAGAAAAAACATCTCCAGACACTTTTTCAAATACAGCCGGTAGATGCAGAGAGGCAGAGGTAAGCAGGAAAATAAGCAGCAATAGCAGAATTCTCTCAACCAAACAAAATGTAAAAGAAAAGGGGTTTGTACTTTTGTTTGTCTGTCATAATATTAACTGTGTCATCTATTGTTTTGGTTGTACATTTGTAAGAATCAGTACAGGTACTTTACGGGTAGCAGAGACATGGGATGCAAAAGCTGCCATTCCAACAGAAGCCAGACAGAAAAGAAAGCAGCAATAGGAAAAGACAAACAGAGATCTAAAACAGCCATTTCAGGCTTGGTGTCCTTACTGGGTCTGCAGAGCTGCAAAGTGTTACCTCTGACAGCACTGCACCGACTGGAGACTGGAGCTGATCTGGGCTCCTGCAGGTCCAGCTCCGTGTAGAGGAGCTCTCTGTTAGTTTTAGCTGGCAGGGGGCTAATGGGGATGTTAACATAATTACCAGTGCTGTCACTATGGAGCCCAGTGTCCAGGGACACAGACAGAGGAGATTCATGGGCAGACTGGAACATACCTGAGGAAGAAATCCAATCTTTAACAGGTTGAACATTTGATCCCAGACCAGCGGAATAAAGTGTCAGCGGAAAAACACCAAAAGACAAATGGCTTTTATCTGGAATACTTCACATCCACAATTCACTTGTCAGAAATGTTCTTACCACAGGCTGATGTTGGCCTATGCTTGCTCAGTCCGACAGGCAGGGGTGGAGGTGCAGAGGGTGGCAGAGAGGGCAGCAACCTCTTCAGACCTGCCAGTTTATCACCAACATGCCCAACGTAATCATATTCCTCACTCACACAGAGAGGACGATCTGAGAAACACATTTTGAGCCCAACTATTACTTAAGTATAAGTAATACAAATTCAATACATTCAAAATTTAAAAAAAGTATGTATTTGTATAAGTAGTATCAGCAGAATATACTAAAAGTAGTTTAATCAATGCAATGCATCATATTTTATAAACTACTTAAAATTTTAATGTGAAAGAAACTAGTAAATGTCAAATAAATGTAGTGGAGAGAAATGTACAATATTTACTTCTGAAATGTATGGAATAGTAGTATATAGTGGCATAAAATGGAACTATTAAAGCAAAGTACAAGTTCCTCAAAATTAAAAAGTACACCACACCACCACAGTGTAAGACCCAGGCACACTAATTGCACTCCCAAACACACCTTGTATATCTGCAGAAGGTGACAGGCCTGTCGGTGAGTTGGCAACCTAGAACATAAAATTTTTTTTTTTTGAGATTAAGATTTTTATCTTAATTTTACACTGCATACGTTTTAGGTAATAAGCTTGTTTGATGTTCTTGTCATGTTTGATTTAAAGTGATACTATTTAACTGTGCTAATTACAGGATAAAGCCACATTGATTTGCCTTTATTTCCCAAGATTCTCTTGAGTTAATTGCTCTTAAAAAACATCATAATTTTCATCTATGACTTGTTTGAATGTAGTGCAATAGCAGTAGCAGTTTAAAGGTAAAATAAAATAAGCAAATTTACTCATTAATGTCAGTTACACAGCATCTAACTAAAGTTTGCTAATATTACTGGCCATAGCAGACCAATATAAGCTCTGAGTGAATTGAAATGCAAGGGTGTGGCTTTATTGTTCAGGAATCCAACTTTTCATTTCTAAGAGGAAAGAGTGTGTTGTTTCTTTTACCAAATGTTACTTTAGTCTTGCTTTAAGCACACAGAGCTCTTTTATGGCTCCATAAAGACACAGAACTAAAATAGGTGGGTAAAATCTGACCTGAGTCGTTAAGCACCTGTTCCTCGCTGACCGCCACTGCTCTGGTGTAATGTAGTTGTCATGACCGCACTGGGTGGGGAGACAAGAGAAGTTGGAGATGTCTTAAGCAGCTGTGGACAGAACGACTTTGAAAAGGATTGATTAGGAGAAAGAAGGAAAGGGAGAGCGAGTGAGGGGACGAGGTGAAGAAAAAAAGGTGATACAGTGCTGTGAGGACAGACCTGACATCTTTAGGAGGTGGCAGGTGGGAGACAAAAGGGTGGCTGGCTCAGAAGACATCTCTGACAGTGTGTCCCAATTTATCAGTTTCATCTGCTCCAGAGCAGCTAATAACTAGCAGCAGATTCAAGCTTCAGGAATATTATCTGTCATACGGTTTGTTTCAAAAGGACCTAATACAACTTGTGGAATCAAGCATTGTCTCATTACCCGACATGAAGGATGTGTAGCTTTTGTCACATTGAACCACTGAGTCGAGGAATGATGAGCAAAGAAAACTCATTGGTGTTTCATACAACAGGATTCTCCTCTGCGAGGGTTTCTGTCGGTTTCATCACTATTCATTAACTTACTTGGTCCCCTTTTGCTCTCCAGCATAGACATGATGTATAATATACACACGCACTCCTACACAAGCTGTCAAAAATCACAAGACATGCTGTTTCCTCTCCTGCTCTGACGATTATTTGCTCGATACAAGGGGAAAGCGCCTTTCACAACCCTTCAGAAAATTAATTAGACAATGTGGAGTGTCTTCCAAGGGCTTTTGAGGTTTTGGACAAAAGTATCAAAGGGAAAACAACCGGCTCTGGACATGTTTGTGATGGAAACACACATCTAATTTTTTACAATTGGTGTTCTTCTGTATTAGCGGTTTAGTGCCTCAGCGGGTGGCACTGTCACCTCACAGTGAGAGGATTCGATTCACGGTCACTCTGTCTGGTGTTTGAATCTTCTCACCCATGTTTCTACGCCCTGTGGTTTTCAGACCAAAGACATGCAAAGTCACTTGGACTGGAGACGAAAGTGCCCATATGGAAGGTGCCGAGGAGGCGTGCTGTGATTGCATGACACACTGCAGTACAGAATGACCTGGCATATGGTCTCAAAAAGCTAGCTCAACAAATGGTTAAAAGAAGGTTTGTTCTTTCAATGCTCCAGTGTTGTGATTCCCAGGTTGAATTTAAGAAGTATCCTCGTATATTTTATGCAGAAATTATTATGTTTAGTGGTTTTTCTGCCCCTGTGGCAAGCCTTGCTCAGCATTGTACAGTGTTTTCAGCCTCTTTATGAGCCTTTAAGCCATTGATGACTGTAAATCACAGTTACAAAGGCAGCCACCCGAGTGAGTCATTAGTTTGAATAGCAAGTACCAGTGTGTATGTGAAAAGTCAAGATAATTGCTGCTTAAACTGCTGGTGCATCAGTCGCAAATACTGCACAATTACGTAATACAGCCAAAAGTTAAGACTTGCAAAATCTAAACAGGAAAACTGCATTAAAGAAGTAGACCCTCATTAAGACTGACTAAAAGACACTTAATGGGCACTTTGCTGAACAAAACTCCAACCTATGACCTCAAAAAGGACCAAGTTGAATCAACATCTCATTCAGTATAAACTAAAAGGACGACCATTGCAAGCTTGAACAAATTGGCACCAGCAACTTAGGCATTTCACATCTCAGGCTCTGTTAAGTCTAAAAGTAGGCTTTGATAGGTGGAGTTCACTGATGTGTTTGAGGGCTGTAGTACTAGGTCCTGCACTTTGTTCCTGTTGTTTCCTTTCCATTCATTATGGATTGAATTCCATTATGTATTAGTGTATTAGTTTATCTTCAGGTTTTAGAAAATGGCCTCAAAGGTAATAAGCTTTTTTTGCCCTCATGACGGTGTAGTAAACTAAAGTTTGACTGTATTATTAAATAACTGTAGCTAAGACTGGACCTAAATGTGCAGAGCCTTATATCTCCATGTTAAAAATTTGACCAGGATCAAACAGATGTAGCCAGCAGTGCCCCAAAAAGCACGCTTGTGTACAGGCAGGCGTATAGACACACAACGACTCCATGCAATTGCTAACCTGCAGCCTTTGATCAGAGCCAGGGACAGCAGACGAAGTGCCAAATCTATCAACGCAAATAACAGCCTGCCCTGGACTCAAATCACCACTGTCTCCGACTATCAAATAACCTAAAAGGCCTTAGCCAGCCTACAGTAACAAATTAACACATAGTAGCTTACACAGTATGTCAATAACCACAGAACAAATAACGATCAAGAAAAGCACAGCAGCTCATTATAGGCCTACACAGTATGAATGAATGGATGGCATCTGATTACACAATTACATGCATTGCATAAACAATTAATTAATCATCATTCATCATCAATGGCACTGGGGCCAAATGTTACCACAAACACAGATTCCAGTAAGTGCGCATTTTCTAACATTTGAGAGGTAATTTATTAGCCGCAAAGTCATTAACGACACTGCTCAAGTCATAATGCTGTTCTGCATTGAGAATATAGCCAATCCACTGAGTCTTGTCCCATGCTACTAGTTCCTGTTGAACGCGGTATGCGAAGGCATGAAAGGACCCATCCTTAGAATCAGCTGGGCCCCAGTGCAGTGCATCAGCTGCACCGCCGGTGCTTATGCCGCTGACTCTAGCATACTAGAACCACATAGTGCCACAGAACCCCAGGAGATAATATAATAATCTATATTGCTGTAGAAATACATGAGCCAGATCAAAATCAGAGCAAATCAAGATGCAGATACTTTCTTATATCAGTCTACAGCAGTTGTCCCACTGAGGCGCCTCGACTGTAATACAGCTAAACATCTGTGACTGCAGGTGGCAACTTGGTAACCTCAGTTATATTATTGGTACTCACCATGCCTCTTTCCTCAACCCTCAACATCCAAACCACAATTCTACTGAGGAGCTCATCCTAGCTTATTAGCACAAGGGATAGTTACATAAGATCCCATTTATGAGCACAAGAATAAAAAATACCACTGTGGGATTAATAAATGCAGGCAGAAACATTAAGGAGAGATTAGCATCTGTGGGAGTGAATCCAAGAGCTTGAGTAGGTGATTAGCATGATGATTTGCAAGCATTTTGGTCCATTTCATTAAGAGTCCATACTTAATGCATATGTTAGCACAGAAACAAAACTCCCAAAGAGAACCTGAAGATGGACAATTTCTCTATAGTGCTGAGCTTAAGTTACATAATGATGAAAACATGTCTACATTTTCTTGGACTGAACTAAATTATAATAGTGATTAACCAAATCTCTTCAGGGTGATTAGACTCTAGTATTATGAAAATGTTTTTTAAAAAGTATATGTTCTCTGGTCCCACTAATAGAGCCTGTGTAACTGATGTGCTCCAAATATCTGAACAGTATTTTTATTTCATAGAAAGGCATTATACTATTTTAATTATTCTCCCTCTGATATGCTATATTGTGCTTTGTTGGTTGTATTGAAAGAGTGTGGCACTGTCTGTACCTGTGTTTCTCCACAAACCAAGCCTTCAGGCACCAGCAGGGCTCTGGGTGTGGACCTCCCCCCACTGTCCACAGAGGGCGCCCTCTCACTGCCCCAGGAGTTCGAGCGCTGCATCATGGCCTGACGGTGGGCCCTGATTCCTGTGGGGCTGTTGCTCAACCTTTGTCCCTGACTACCCCCTCCATCTACACTGCTCCTGCTGTCCCTGCCCTGCCCAGGTGGGCCTTCTTGAGAGACGGAGGGTTCCCTCAGGGAAAGGGTCTGGAGCAGACTCCTGGGAGTGTCATACCACAGTCTGAGCAGGCTGGGGATTTGATACTCCTCACTGCGCCTCCGGGACGTACAAGAGCTAGGTCTTGAGGCACAAGGGCAGGAGGAGGAGGTAGCAGAACTGTGCTCTGGGGTAAGTGTTGGCAGAGGAGGAGGAGGAGGAGGAGTGGGGGGAGGAACAGAAGGAGGTGAAGAAGGAGGAGCAGGTAAGCTGGCCAAGGAACCAAACTCCTCTCCGCCTCCCTGACTGGCTGTGTCCAGACTCCCCGTATACGAGGAGAAGCTCCCTGAGTAAGACGACTGACTGCCTGTCGCTATCCCAATCCCACTGTCTAATGAGCTCTGCCGCCCGCTGTCATGGAGACCGCGAGGATGGAGCTGGGCGGAGGATGGGCGAGTCCCGGAGCTTCCCATCACAGCAGCATAAAGCCGGTCATCTGAACTGGTCAAAGCCTTCAGCGTGGAGGAGCTTGATGCTGTCTCGTTGGAGAGGTGCGGCCTAGCTAACGGCTCCACCCAAAATGGAAGTCTGCTTCCATAGCTCGCATCTGATTGGCTGGAAGAGGAGCTGGAGATGCTGCTTTGGTCGTCCCCGGCAACAGATGTACTGCAGCTGTAAGTGGAAGCTGAAGGGGGGCAAGAAAGTTATTAGATCCTGATGAAGTGATTTATTAACCCATCTGCACACCATAAAGTAAAACTGCAATACAGAAGATTTAATCATTGTTATATAAATCATGTCTTTAATTGGGCTCTGCTTACAACATGACACTGTGAAATCAGTTTTCAGTCAATCACACTACAGTTCAAGTCTTTTGTGTTTCTGTGCAGTCGGGGCAGAAATCATGAAGCTTTTGCTCATGATTGCTCTGTGTTTTAGACGTAGTCAGCAGAAGTGAATCATTGGACTTCTGACTACACTGAGCTACACATTTCTGAGTAACACACACACGTAATTATGACATAAACCATTCCCAGAATGGCCTCATAAATATAGACCAGTGATTAAGCCTTTGTGTGGGCAGAGGACCAGCCAGGCCAAGCAAACAGAGTGCAATGATGAGTGAAAGATTCATGATGTATAACAAATCCCAAACATCATGACAGACTACATCAACATCTGAAGGTCCTAAGATGATGCATACTATCCCTCTGCTACATTGCGGAGTGATGATGAGTTATATATTAGATATATTGCCTTAGTAGTACCTTAACAGTACCTGTGCTGCTGGCGAGGCTGCAGTGAGACAACATGCTGAGTCGTTTCTCCAGCTCTGATGCTTCCTGGCTGATTCGTTCCTCTGCTGAAGCTGGGTCAGCATTGGGATCTGCAGTTCATACAGTACATACAAATTTTATACATTTTCACAGTCCATCAGCAGTTTGACTGTTGTCCAAATAGTCTTTGGCGTGAAGGAATCCACTGCAAATTTATTTTAGTTTTTTTGTAGATCAAAGTAAGATAAAACTGAATAGAAATATTTCAAGGTAATTCACATTTTACACGTTTTTTTAAAAAGGATTAAGTTATGAAAACATACTTCAGTGTGCTAGAATGTCTTTTAGAAATACACATCTCACAAAACCAGACCAGAAAAACTGTTTTGTATCTTTATAAAAATGGAAATATGAAAGCAGAAGTTGAAAGAGTGCTCCTGCATGCATCAGCCTCCTCTTTAAGATGTCTGCCATGTGTGAGTGTGTCTCCAACTGTTACACCAGCTTGTAAATTTAACATCTCCCAGTGGAGGTTATAGGCGCCTTGACTATCTGTTGGAACATCGATTTAGTGTAAAACCCTGCCAATTACACACTTAATGCCTGCTATATATACATAATGTGTGTGTGTATGTGTGTGTGCGCGCGTGCCCCTGCACATTGGGTCAGGGTGTTTGTGTGTATAGGTGTCAACAACCTAACCCCTGGATCTCTGCCTCTGGACTGCAGCAGCTAACGCTAACGTGCAGATGCCAAGTTTTTTCACTACGCTATGTGAGGTGTCAGCTAACATTTGCTAACGTTGCTGGTCTATGCTAATTATAGCGAGCTTCTTCACAGCAGTGAATGTCGTGGGGTTAGAGAGGGCCTCAGAGCAGATTGATGCCGGTTGGCTGACACTAGAATAAATGTTGCAAGGAGGCTGAAGTTAAACTTCTTTTTCCACCAATCTGATGGATCAGCTCCCTCCACCTACACAGCCTCACACATCATTTGTTTGTTTTGTTTTTGTCTGTCTAATTCAGTACTACAGGGCTTTGCATATTAATTCTGACTCTGCAACATGTATAAGGTAGCCTACCATATATATGTACAGTAAAGTTAGATTTGAAGTATTCTGATCTTTTTCTTATGCTAAAGAAACTACAGTGTAAAAATACTCCATTATAAGTACATTCAAATCTAATTAAGTACAGATGTATCAGCAACCAAGGATCAAGTATCAACAGTAAAAGAGCTCAATATGCAATAGAATGCCCCCTGTTAATATCATCATATATTAGATTATTAGATTATTACTATTATGTATTTATATACAAAAGGAATTGATATAAGCTGGTCAAGGTGGAGTTAATTGTTTAAATGTAGTTGAATATAAGTAGAAATAGCAGAAAAGGTAGTAAGGTAAGGTAAGGTAGTAAAAGTAAAATACAAGTACCTTAAAGTTGTACTTAAAGGTACCCCCTGCAATGTTTTGAGCACTAGCAATGCTTTTATGAGTCAATCCCTGTTTTGTACATGAACACAATGATCTCACATTATTCAACTGAACTTCAGTCAGATGGTATGTACATAAAAAGTGGAGTGCTAGCATGTAAACATGGGTGAAAACAATACAGATTTCAAAATGTAAAAAAAATAAATGATTTGGAAATGTGTAAGGAAATGCATGAAGTCAACCAAAGTGTCGGTATTTGACTTCCTGAGAGCAAGAATGCCACCCATTGTTTGGGGGTCTCCCTCAACAATCAGTTTCTCCAGAATGACTGACCCCACCTTTAACACATTTGTTAGACCTCAAGGATGCACATAATGTGTTTTATGGAGGAAAAACTTAAACATAAACTTTATATGTTTACAAGAAATCTCTGCAGAGAACCTTTAAGTACAGGGCTTGAGTAAATATAATTATGTTCCATAACTTCAGTCGAATGTTTAGAGAAACCGACATGCCTAAGGCATGGCTTACAGAATGAGCTATCCCTGTGCTGAAGGAGACAAACTTTATGGTTGATTTTCTTCCTCCAAAAGGTTTTCTGCAGTCCAAACTAGCCAACAAGCAAGATATAAATAATTCTACAGAAACCTAGTGACAGGAAAGTCGAAATCTATCAGTATGAAGGAAATAGATGGGACAACTGAGTCCAGGTCAAAAGAGTCAGATACTATTATACTTTTAAATGGCAAATGACTCTGCAAGAAATGTTAAGTGCAGTTTGATATTGGCAGTAGCTAATGGCTGAAGATGAAAAGTTGAAGGTCTCTTCTTTTTGTGCTGCACTACTTTTCTCCATGTTGGCATCAATTCTCCATCTATTTAATCTAAAGCATTACCAAACTTTATCTTTACAAATTAAAAGCAAGTGTGTATTAGGTCCAAATTCAAAAACAGACCCTGAGATGTGTGTGTACACTGTATCACAGTGTGTCTATTCAGAGTTGTCAGATCCTTCGTATGTGTCCTGTTACAACTTTTCTCTTTCCAACTATCACTGACCTCTTAGTCTCCATATTTGTGGTCTCAGAAATGCCTGTGAAATTAGCAGGACGTTACAATAGCGCACAAGTCACACACAAAGGCACAACCCCTTAATCCACACAGTGACCCTTGGGGCTTTAAGCATGTGGTGTTTCCGTTAGCATGGCGCCTGACACAAATGCTAAACATGCACATTAAACAGGCAGTAAACCTTTATAATGGAAGTCATACATAGACATACCAACGTGACTGATTGTTTTAGTTCAGAACAGCAGGCCTCTTTTGCAGATATTTCTACTACAAACATTACTACTTCATACTATAATTTATCCTATTGTACGTATGTATGTGTGCCGGTATATTATGTGTGTATTTACTTTAAAGCTTATATGCATGTACGAATGTCTGTGTATATGTATGTGTTCACCTGGCAGGGCAGGTCGCAGGCCATGAGGGGCCCTGCTGGGGGTGATGCCCCTGACAATGCAGTCAAACAGGAAACTGATCTGCTCTCCATCTGAACAGGACAGGAAGAAAACACCAGCCCCTGGAAGTTGGATGGGGAGAGAGAGAGACAACGCTATTAGTGAAAGAGAAACATACATATATGATGGATAACTCAAAAGAAGATGATATTGGGGTTGGGAAGAAAATGTGGAAAAACTAAAATCACCAAATTAAACAGCTTGAAGCAGAGGTGAGAAAATGTTGTAGTAAATTGTGAAATATAGAGTCTAAACAAACAGGCCAAACAATGTTCAGTAAGGGTTCAGAAGGCTGTTCTAAAGGCAAGGTTGTTCTTTGAGCCAGCAACAACCCTCTCCTCCAAAGGTTACATAAAACGTCTTTCAATTCAGCCCCCACTCTCCTATCAAGCCCACACAGAGGTAGGCGTCTGTGAAAACACAAGACAAGCAAAAAAAAATCATGAAACATCAAAATCTCTCATTGCAGAGATATTGAAAAGACAGCCACAAAGTAAGCCCTTACTCAGGGGTTTGTCAAAAAAATCCTCTTTGTTCTCATGGAACTGAGTTTGCTGCTAATAAAAATAGAAAAAACGGAGCAGAAAAATGTTTGATAACATCTGAGTCAGCAAAGTTGCTTTGTTTCATATGTAATTTCAAGCTAAAAATAAAAAAAAGCTGCCGTTGTATTAATAAAGTACTGAAAATTATGTTTTACGTATGAGACAACTTTAAATTCCAATGGTCACAAAACAGCATTTAATACCTGGATGAAGGTATCTATCAATCTTATCCATAACATTATACGCACTAAAGTTTACTTACTTAACTTGTTACTTTCATTATATTATAAAGTATATTCAGTGCTATTACAATATGCTGCAATATGTCAGACCACCATTTAGTTTTTCTTAAGCTGAATAATTGAAGAGTTTCTCTCTTGAATCATCACTGAGCATTAAATGTAATGGAAACCTATTAGCTTCATTAGCCGTCATGTATTTTATCGTGTTTTCTTGAGTGAGTGGAAATGCTTGGCCTGCTTATCGACTGGAGGAGATGAAGTATGAAAGTACAGTCACTGATAATATCAATGTGAGGCTGTAAGCTGAGGCTTTTTATTACAAACGACTAATCTGAACAGACGAAGCTGATAAAGCCCACACCCTGAACAGAATAAGCCCTCAGTCTCAAAAGCTGTATTTATGATCCTTCACAGAGACAGGAGTTGGAGAAAATAATAGACATATAATACAATTTAGTTCATCTTTGTGAGTCTACAGTTTTGTAAATGAAAGGGAAAAACAATAAACCTTTTTTAACTTTTAAATCTGAAGGTTACTAACTGTATGGAAGCCTAAATGTACCTCTTCAGCCATTCAGACATTCAAATCAGAGAAGAAAACACCAACATTGCATGAGATTCTCTGCGGGAGGATGATCAACGTCACAATTAGGCCAGTTGTGCACAGCCAGACTATAGTCCCCCACACTGCTTTAAAGTAAGAAATACCGTACACTGAGAGGTGTTTCTAAAAAAAATTCCACTCAATTTAAATCAATTAAATTAGACTAAATATCAGCTACACCTCCCAGTATAACGCAATATAATTCAACAGCACCACAAACTACGTCCTTAAAAATAACCCTTCATTTCCTTTATGGATTGCTCATTAAGTCAGTTACATCATCTGTTTGACATTTGGTGAAGGTGTTTCATTAACAGATTTTCCTTTTTACCACAAGGTGCCGTGCTTTCAGTGGGAAAATGACTCCACCTCAATTTATCTTTGGATTACGAAAATCTCGCCTTGTTGATTTGAAAGGCAGCTGTAGGCTATAAACTTCAACAACAAAGCCACGTTTTATAGCTGCCTTTAAACCTGAAAAGGTTTAAAGGCAGCCACATGAAAGAACCAGAAACAAGCAGTAAACACAACATAACTCCACTTAATAAACGACTCTGTTCTTCTCGTTTGCCAGTATTTCTGTTAATACGCAGCATAGTAAAGTCATGGCTGTAGCTCTTTCTAGTCTCTCCTTTTCATCTGGTGTGAAAAAAAAACATCTTCAGAGGCCTTGAGCAGCGTTTTCTCTGTGCAAGCTATTTTGTAAAATTTTTCAACCTTTATGGGGCAATGTCAATGTAACGTTTGAAACAAAAGAGACATATTGTAGCATTAGAAAGAATGACATTAGGATCTCTTGGGATAAAATAAGCTGTTCTCTATTTTCTGTAATTTTCTCAGTGGACATTTGTTTGGCAGTCAAATTCGTAATTTTTATTTGTTATGAACACCCAAAGGGCCTTGTTGGACCTGGTACTCATTTATTTCTCACAAATATGCTGAGCTCAGCTGCATGTCAGCTCATCGTAAAAGAGACAGATGTTATTTTCTTATTGTAGCAGCAAAGCATTATATTTAATATAGAAATAAGCTGCTTTTCTGTCAAATTACACCATGAATTATTTCTGTTTGGGACCAATGTTCATAATATTGGTTACACAAGTTAAAAGACCAGTGTCTAGGATTTAGTGGAATATAGCTGTGTGGTGGAAGGTGACCAGCGGCATCTGTAAATATAAAAGGCTCATTCTAAGGTAACAAAAATGCAATTCCTACATTCAGGTGATTATACACTATCTGAAACATAGTTATGCATATTATATTAAATTTTTGCCAATGGGTCTTCCTAAATGTTACAGACTGGACCTTTAACAGATAACGTTTCTCTAAACCACTCTGCATTATAATGACACACATACTGTAGGTGGACAGCTGTTTCGTCTTGAGAACGGTTCACCACTCATCCAAGAGGCTTCAACACTTCTAATGACAGGTGGAGATTCAGAGACATTTCAACCTCTATGGGTCATTCACACTTTAATGTCACATGATATCAGACAAGTTAAAATTGCCTTCTGATCTGGAAGAACTCAAAAGTATGCAGCAAAACTGCTGCATAATGCTTTCTAACATATAATAAACACCACAAGAAAACCAACTTCACACGTGCATCAACATATTACTGTACTACAATACGAGGTGTGTGCACATGTGTGTTTATTCCTGCTGAGGGACATGGAAAGATTGCTGACATAGTATGTCGGCTTAAAATTGCTTTTATCTAGATCACAAGGCTTGACTGGCCATCCAAACTCCACAGAGGATCATTTGTTACTGTGTGTGCGTGTGTGTGTGGGTGGGAGGGGTAGTACAGGACCAACATGAACACGTGTGGACCTGATAAGCCACAAACTATCTCTCTAGCTATGACACCGGCTCTGCTCCCAACATCATCGATTACAGAACACCGCGGCCTCGTTATCACATTGAGTGGAAGCTGGAGTGCTGATATCACTGTGTACTGATGGATGATTGACACTGCTACACTGTGTGCATGTGACTGTCCAACGAAAGGCGCACGTCCAACAGACATCCACGAGGAACCCAGCTCAACTGATAGTGCCTAGTAAAAGATTTGCGCAGACGGCTGCCCACTGTCCCACAGCAGTGGTTGCCTCGCAGTGTGTTTGTGTATGTTCATGGCCGTAAAAAGGCTCATCATGTCACTGCGGTGTACGTCTTCAGCTCTGCAGCCAGGAATCGTCAGAGGCGCAGCTGACTTTAAAAGTGCAGCTGCAGCAGAGAGCACTGTGGCAGTCAAGGGTAAAATATTTTTATACAGCAGCATTAGATGACCGAGAGACCTGCTTACTGATTTGCTCGAGCAAAAAGGCCTCAAGGGAAATTAGGGAGCTGAGAGGGTAAAGCAGTTATTTTATAAGACATCGGTTCCAAGTACTGTGCTCAAAAAGTGCAGCCTTATAAAGAACCATTTGTCTATACAATTACAATTATTCTGCAACATTTGCACATCTTTACAGTGTTTCTGGCCTGTCTGTTGTAACTGTGTGCCGCCATTTTGTACTTTTCATGGATATTAAGGAACTTTACAATAATAGAGACATCTTTTGTTCAGCAGGAAAACTTTTGAAACTATGAACTTTTTATATCCAAAGATTCTGAAATGTTTAATGAGGTAGAAGGAGTAGATGCCTTTTCAATGATTTTAATGTGGAAATGGATGTGGATATGTTTGCTGAATTAGACACACATTATTGTTCCAAACAGACTATTTGTACATGTCATAACACATTACTGGAGGGGATCTTTAAAGAACTCCTCGTGATCTCTCCTGCTCCAAGATTTTCTCTGCAGGGGTTTGTGATGTCTAAGCACATGATCAGTGTGTCAATTCTAAAGTTTGAGAATCTAAGCTGAGGATTTCATTTCGTAAGTTTTGTTGGTTTCTGTTGCCAACAGCATCGCAAGGGGCTGCTGATGTGTGAGACAACAGCGCTTAAAACTTTTTCCAAAGATAAACAGAAAAGAAAAGTGATGCCAACAAGAAAAACAGAGCAGCTGATCACTCACAGTGTCAGTGACCTAATGGTTTGTATAAGACTAGAAGTGTTATGATAAACAGTGTCATTTCCTCTGCTTATGGTTACTCAAAATGGTTAATGGAGCTGCTAGCTGGAGCAGAGCTAATTCATTTCTTATGACTAACTCCTCCAAAAAATTTACCGATGTTTCGTCATGGTATTTTGTAATAAATCTGCTCCAGTACTGACTATACATGAATACAGTAGCCATGCTGCACTGCATTCACTTAGAGTCAAGTGCCCACTCCCAGCTCCTCTGACTGTATCTGATCAGTGTCAACAATAAGAGATTAAAACGTTTGCAATGTTTTCTGGGTAATTGCCAAAACAATCAGCATGATCAACAATCATGATGAGAACCTGACTGTAAGCAGACAAGTTGGTGCGTAAAGACCAGCTTTGGGTGAAACCATAAAATGCTAAGCACTGGTATGCCTCACATGTCCTCACCAAATACAAATAAACATGTAAAAATGTAAACTAACACTCTGCTTTACCTTGCACTCACGCAAGGAATGTCACTTGCCGACTTCTGTCACTCTCTGTTCCTGCAGCCAAGAGGGCCTCTCGCTACTGCCCCAGTGACTGCTGGGTAATATGTAGATGGGGATGAAGGAGAAAACTGCGATTGGCAGTCTAGCCTGCAGGCGCTATGTGACTGGCTGAGTGACCACTACAGTGGAGGATGGTATTTATAGATGTTGCCCATCAGAACACTGAAACCAGAGCCTGTGGACCTCATGGTTATTCCTGTAGGAGCCAGGAGACTGTTTGCACACACACACACACACACACACACATCACATTAGTGCATACAGGAACTTTCTCTTAAGACCAACACCTCTTTAACACAAAATGACACTGAGGAGATAGTTCTCACTATAAAGAAGATCTACCAATAGACATATTTTCAGGTATGAAGTCAGGAACACGGCAGCTGTAGGCAAGTTAAGTTCCCCTACAATGAACATTTTAAACACTTATCTCGCTGTCCATGTGTCTCTCACACACACATCCCCACCCCAAAACATAAAACTGCTTCTCATTCTTCACATTCATGCCCACATCAACTGGACATTCAGAGGATACCTAAACCCTGGCAACCACACAAACACACACGCACACACACACACGCACACCTACACACGCACACCTACACACACACACACACAGCATTATTTAGTGGGCAGGCATACAGTGTGGTGGATTCATACATAGAAATTAATTTCTTAAGTGGATAAAGTTACTCTATAAAGACCTGCAATAAATCATAGGTTTTTATCCAGGTCGGTTAGTGTTAAATGAAAGATCTATCAAGCTGTGAGAAATGAGAAGGAGCATTTGTCTAAGGGAAGCATAAGACAACTGTGCTGCACTGACTGTATATGGACAAAGTTACTGGTCCAATGAGTTGTTGGTTGGTTAGACTTAACTCATCTTAAGTTACTCTCACACTGAAAATCAGTCAGTTGAATGGTTGAATGCATTCTCATGGATACTGTGACTCGTTTGTTGTCTTTTGTTGTGTCTTCCACCTGCATCTTTTACTTCTGTTACTGACTTCCTGTATTTCCTACACAGGCATGAGAGGACATTTAATTGTACATATGCATGTGACAAGAGCTAAACTGATTGTTTTTTCTGTGGTCATTTATTGCCCCACCATCATTGAGGCTCAGAGCAACTAATAAATGAACCTGTTTTCTCAATATTTGAGGGTATCTTTTAAAGACCCTCATGAAAAATACATGGAATATAAAATGCACATCATCGCTACATTTCAGTTTGTGCATGCCCTTAATTGTTTATAGCCTATAGTTATTATTACCACTACATGCATAGGCTAAACAAGAATACTAAAGCAATTTGGGTCCTGGCTGACCGGACACAGTGGCCGAGCTGTGCACACTGGAGACGTAGCACAACTCTGGCGCACGCTCTCCCCCCTGTGCCCCCTTACCTGCAACCATAAAGTATTGACCATTTATGGAAAAGTGTGCGCTCGATTTTATGGATCTGAATATTTTCTTGTGTTAAGGATGGAATCTATGCTGAGTTTTATAAATGAGGCCCCTGGTGATTTACAGCGGCTCTGTCCAGCAGGAACAGCGGGTTCACACAGGTACAGGAGAGGAGTGAAGGGAGAGATGGAGAGATGTGAGTTTGTAGCCATTTGATTTGTAAGTAACTGTTATACATCATCTAGGAAAATCTTTAGTCAGGGCCCTACTAAATGGAATATAATATGGATAACTATGTATGATCACCAGAAAATAAGAAGTGTTATGTTACTTTAGAATGAGCCGTTCATATCTACAGATGCTGCAGGTCGTCTTCCATTGAGTCCGCCATGTTGAAACACCATCTTTCTACAGTAGCCCAGAACAGACAAATCAAACACTCGCTCTAGAAAGGAACATTAGTATTAGTTTCTCCTACATGCTTGGAAGGGGAGTGTGAAGCGAGGGAGTAGCAATCTGCAACTATACTGCTAGATGCCACTGAATCCCACACACTGGTCCTTTAAGGTATAACGGTATATTTCCCTCTGTTTGCTTTGCAATAGGAAAACAAACTGTGTTAGCTGAGTTAAATCTTAAATGTTGAATGTTAAATGAGAAAGAGCCTTGATGTTAACCATTGATTTATTTCACCTATTATGCTCCCATTTAGATCTGGTAGAAATAACCTTGACCTTACATAATCAAACTTTTTGACCAATTACCCTCAAATAACACAAATACACCAACAACAGAACAGAGTCAAGCATGTGACGTACTGTGCATTGTCCAAAGCTGTTTTTCAGCTACAGTATAGTGTTGAAGTGTTGCCCCTTATGGCTGCAGGCCACAGTATCTAAACTCAAACAGCAGAAAAACCTTCTCAGTCCACAAGTTACTTACAGTATCCACAGCGAGTCCCTCCCTCAAACACGAAGCCATTTGGCACTGCACCATATCGACGCAACGCCGACAACTTCCAGTGGCCAATGACGACAGGAGGGACGCCTCTGGTAAGGACCAGTAAGTTGTTGCACAAGTGGAGGGAGGCAGGGCCGCTTTCCAGTTTGGTACCTGGCTCGACATTGACATTGAACCTGTGGACTGAAGGAGAGAAAGAGACAGAGAGGAGAGAAGACGTTTTAAAAAAAAAAGGGGGAGTGTGTGTGGTATTCACCAGCTCTCTGTCATAATGACTTTAAAGACAATTGAAGCATCATTGATCATAAAGCACATCAATCACACAACAAATGAGGTGGAACATAAAAACAAACCAACAGGGCATATCACACGTGCAAGTACATGTTCACACATGTAAGTGATGGCTATGGTAATGATGATTAAGCCCTTCTTCAAGCTCTGCTGGCTGCAATTTGTTATTGCTCAGTGTGTGCAGATGGTACATTTTCTTCTTTGCCAAGGTCTATCTCTCCCTTGCACAGCCAAACAGTCTATACTGTATTTATTTAAAATAAATGAATAAATACACACACACACACACACACACACACCTACAAACACACACACACAGTGGAGCTTATAATAATAATAACCATAACTCTTAAAGTATTTGCAGTCTTTTATACAAGCTTTAAAAACAAGAACAGATTTTTATTATTGTTATTATTATTATTATTATTATTATTATTGTGTATATAGAGACTTAATAGAGTGAGCTCACTTCGCTGGACTGCAGGGAGGAACAGCAAGCTGGGGACTACATAATGCATTGTGCTGGTTTACTGATCAAGCAAATGTTAAATTATGTAAATGATGTAAAACAAAAAGCTGCCTTGAGGGTCAAAAATCTGTCTGCTTTGGTACAATTTGGAAGATGGGTAATTTGAGGTGAAATGGTTTCAACATTGGCCAAAGACAGGAGTTTTACAGCAGCATTGTGGACAATCTGCTGGCATGAAATAAACTTTTGCTGGGTAAAGAGGAAATAAATGCATGAATGAATCAATATAGTGGTGGATACGTTTAAAACTACTAAACCTTTGTTTTAATAGTGCCTCCCTAGATTATTAGCAATGGGTTTTACATGGGAAGGTAAAATATTTGGTGTGCTGTAACTTTTACAGTCAGGATGACTGAAAATAACAGCAAATGTTCTGTGACATGAGCTTTTAATATCAAGAAAACTGCAGTTTGGGGGTTTCAAGGGGAGATCAAATTATGTGACATTCACAGTGATGGAGGAACAGACTGCTTGTGGGTAATATGATTAAGAGGTAGGATGGAGCCTCGAAAATATCCTGCAGATTATATTTTGGAAAGAGGAGGAGGGGGAAGAATTACCTATTCAGAAAAATATAAAAAATGTAAGCACTGACAGTACTGCCTAGAGATGTCATTCAACTCACAGCCTGAACTAAAGTACAGTTGAAAATCAGGCTGAAGTTATTTAAATGTTATTAAAATTCATAATGGTTAAGAGAACATTTCTCAATAAGACAGTAAAAAAAGTTTGGACAGGCAGTAAGAAGTTATTTGTAAAGAGTTTCCTCGGTGAACCTCTGCAAACTTCTAATTGAAAGTCACAGTTTTTAACAATAGATAAAAGGCTTGTGTTTAATAGGTCTTTGAGCTGTTTGGCTGGAACTGCATCTAGAGAGCAGACTTTTTCACTCTTCTTAAAGGATAATGGGGGGGGGGGGGATTTGATTAATGAAAGTTGGATGTTTGAGCTTCTCTGTGCTGAATGACTGTATGTGCACAGTTTGACACTAGAAGGATGTTCTCACATTGACGGAACCCACAAGCATGATTTGTGACATCCTGGTCCAGTATGCAAATTGTACAGTGTAATGTATAAACTTGAAGCCACGAGTGTACATCCACTGAGGAATCCACTGATGGAATCTACAGTAAAGTAGGAGACATCTTGTGTCCAGCAGGAAAACTAATAATAACAAATTTGCATATTTATAGATTATTATATTATTTTTACAAGCAGATTATTTGTATATGTCATGATACATGTCTGGAGAGGATCTTTAAGTAAACCTCATAACTTGTATAACTCTATCCAGCATAGTTCACTCATACAGTTTTGTGTGGTTCTTATACTTCTCCTTTTCCCCTCTGCTTGCCACTTTCCTCTGAACAGAAAGTTGTGAAGTTGAGACAGCTGATTTTTCAGATAGAGAAGAACCAGAGTGATGGAAGTCAGATCTTATCGGTCTGTGTAATTCCTGTGATTTCTTTGATCCCTTCTAGCCAGTGACCTCCAGTGGAGTGTGTCTTTCTGCAGCACTGCTTCATGTACTACACATTCTTGCTGGACATACAGTACATGTGACCACAGTTAGGGTTTACTACATGTTAAGGCCAGTAAGAACCGACAATATCATGTTCAAAATGCACTTTACTGTATATCAGGGAAATGCATGCATGTAGCTCAGTGAGCCCCCTTCAGCCCATTGACCCGTCACACATTCTCATCTTGAACCAAGGACTGTGACAGCCACACAATGCCAAAGCACCGACCTTCTCCCAGGCTGTAGCGTATGCGGGCATCCCAGGCTAACAGGGCGTCTCGGCTGTTGAAGCCCAGGACCAGCGTGTGCGCCAGACAGAGGATGGAGAGAGTGAAGGATACCCCGTCATACCCGGTCCCTGGCTCCACGCCACAGATCCCCTGAGGGAGCAGAGTAAATGAAATTGAACATTTTAGATTGTATCACCAATAGTCTCTTTTATTCTGTATTCTTTTTATCACAAAGGCAATAGCTGCACTATTTCTTAGCAATATTACTTAGACACCAGGCCTATTAGCCTAAATCAAATGGTTTTTTCTGCTGATTGGGGTCAGTTGGATTTCTCCAAAGGAAATTCTGATGTTGGGTTGGGATACCTTTGAAGCTAAAGGAAGCATGAAACAAAGAAAAAACATAAAACTATCTCAGATATCAAGGAATCTCATTAATGCTGCAGTAGACCGTGTGACTTTCTGGTTCCTTTGGTCTGGTGCACTTTACTGAGATTAGATCACATGGTTTAGGGGAATTTGTTCATACTTAAATTTTATGTATGATATTCTGGGTCACACTTGGGGCCAGCTCCCTATATATTTTATATAGGTGGTTGTCCCAGTTAGTCTCGTTCTTGATGGTTATTTTCAGCTTGTGTACGTGTTCCTTTTTGTTTAATGCTGCTTCTCCCATCTGGGCAATCTACTGTGATTCACCTCAAGACCTTATCCATTCATGTGGTACTCACATTATTTGGTCCACCCCTTGTACATGTGAGAGTAGCAGAAAGCCTGGCTGGTTGTGTGATGCAACAACACTAAAAAGCTGTAATAAACTTGCACTTGAGAAGCTTGTTGAGTGCTTCTGGTCTCCTGTTGCTGAGCGTACCTCCAGTGTCACACTGAGCCTCTCCTTGTTGCCGCTGCCCTTCTCCTTCCCTTTCTTCTTCTCCTTATACACCAGCAGAGTCAGACAGTCTAATGCAGACACAGAGGGCGGACACACAGAGCGGGAAGCTTTAAACACTGACAAGCTTAAAAGTCAATTTTGTAATTAATAGCAGAATAACAACAGTGCCACTTTTTTGTCATCTCTGCTGCATGCCAGCATGTGTGTATAGCACAGCTGTCATAACAAACCCTAAAACAATGAACTGATCCGTTGGCACAGCTGATGATGAAAGTCAAGACACAAATACACACACACACACACACATACACCCACTGAGAGAGAGCAGAGTAGTCAACAGTACTCCCACCACTCTACCCAGTTTCTCCAAGGACACAGCATCAGCCTACAGCTTGAGCCATATGTTTATGTATGGTGAGAGGCACAATGTCTGTCCTCTCAGCATCTCAAGTGAAACTCAATCCAGTTTAAAGAAATGCTTTTTTTTTCGGCCAAGCTTGCAGAGAGAAACCTCTGTTAGACTATGGCAATGAGAGCAATCGTTTTATTTACACTCTTTAAAGGTGGACTTGGTCAATTACTGTAAATAAACTTTTCGATCATTTCAGCTGTAGTATTGCGTAACATTTTCACGTGTTTACGCGGATTTGTTGCGTTATGCGCTCCCGTGGCGCACAGCCAAAAGACCAATTCACAAATTGTGATTAGTTAAACAGGCCAACCCAGAATTAATATAGCTGATTGTAAAAAATAAGATAGAAGCGGTTTGCCACATACCTGCGACCGGAGAGGGCTTCCGAAGAACGAGCCACCGAGTCTTCCACTGTGGAGAAGTTAGTAAAGAATTAGTAAATGTCAAAAAATGTTCCTGTAGTTGGTCCTGAAGTATGGAAACACACTTTAAAGCTCAAAAATAAGAGGATTGTTAGAGGAATTAACCTTTTTTCCATCTCTAAACTTGACTTGTCCCTCCGCGACAACTGTATCCGTCATCTTCTGTCATGGTTCCGAGCAGCTGTGTGTGTGTGTGTGTGTTGCACCTCTCCCCCAGTCCACACACACACACACACA